GACATGTCTGTGGCTAAGGTTTTCGTGTATCGGTTGTACGTTTTCAAAACACAACCACAGAAATACTCGAGGTTGCGGTAATTCGACCTGTAATATTTGGACGCGATGGTGGCATTAAATTTTCGAAGGAGGTACAATTGCGGTATTTTATTTGGCTTTCTAGGCCTACAAGCAGCGCAGGTTATCCTTGGCCATGGCCTGCTACTAATGTCTTTACTAGTTAGATGAGAAAGATAGGGAAACCTCAGATAGTCAGTCGACATCTGTGCGGGTTTTACTCTACCTTATGAAAACCCGCGAATTATCCGCAGATGATCTTTGCAATTTCGAAGGCTGAAAACCTAATAAACGGCACTGTATATTTCGGTCTTTGGTAAACCAGTTTCAATCTGACGATAATCACTGTCAATCGATAACATTACTTGGCTACGTGGACGGAACATGGGTCAACTCAGAACAAGACAATATTAGGATATCTGGTTCTACAGCCCTCGGGATCTTGCCTTTAGGTCACGGATTTTGCAATTCAGTTCAGCGGGCACTCTTCAGGTACCAGAGTGCTGTTGCTGTAGACAATGACGGTAAGCAGGAAATGGTTTTACTACCCCTTTCAATAAACTGCTAATGGTGTTCAGTTGCCTTACTACACAACAGATGTGTTTAGTTGGTTATGCATACAAGCGTTTAAAGCAAGCACTTCCGGTTTGAATGGCGTTCAACTGCCAGGTTTTGCATTCTAACCGTGTTGTTCCAAATACAAAGAGTAATTCGGCTCGTCAATATTCCAATTTGATTTTGAATAAATTGTCAGTTGCCACTAGCTCCGAATGCAGGTTTGAATAAAAGTCACGCTCTGTCTCAAGTGGACTGGATACTAAAGTCCTTAAGAATGATCGTTATAGCAGCGTTGATGTGCCGTTGGTACTACGGGATTAAATGAACTGTACTCGTTCTCTCTAATGACTTTTATCATTGCAACACACTCGTAGCAGCATACCAGAAGTGTGAAAATGAAAGCAGCAAAGTTTACGCAATTTTCAAAACCATAGCACAGCAACAGGACTTTATCTTATGCGCTTTGTCTAAGGCAACTCACTACTCACCGCCAATTATCACTAGATATGAGGTTGTGCTCTTATCAGAGATGTTCATCCCTGCCCCGGTAACTAGAACCTTGCAAACATTTGTTATCCATTATACAATTAGTAGATGACAGTACAGAATCCGTTCAATCCACCTCCGCTAATTCGTTTTTGTCGAATGGTTATTGACACTGAGCTTGCTGTCTCAGGCCTCGTAGATCTTGATTAAATATTTGTTTTTGACTGTTGACACTGCTTTTCCCATGGGAACTCCGAAGGACGATTTTGTGTGGCCACAGTACAAGATTGGTTGTGATGCCTGTACCTAAGCAGCTCATTACTGTCACACTGAGCATCCCATTTTTCACTTCAATATAAAGAACAAGGTTAGTGCAGAATATCGCCCACTAGGTTTAACTGCAGTAATATACCAATGCTTTTCAATACTTACGGCAAGATACTACTTAGCAGGACACTTCTGGAAAACACAGCAGCAAATTTTCTGCCCATTGGTACCCTATCACCTCCGAATCCTGGCTACTAGAAAAGTATTTTGGCATTTTCGTGGACACTTACACTTGTGCAGGTGCAAGCAGAATGAAGAACCGTCTTTTACAGTGATGTTTTTTACGAGTTGGGCTCGACATGTTGCATCCGTGTGTTTTTGGACTAATGGCAAAACCTGACACAAAATGATAAAAACGAGTGCATTTTTGTGAGTGCACATTGGCAAACAAGGCTGGACCGGCCAGCGATACTATTAATCGCACCAAGTGATCCACTGATTAACAGCCAGCGAGCGAGTAACGAACCCAGTGATAACACGAAGAAAGGCATAGTCCCCAGTTTCTGTAAAAATTATGTCTTACTTGAATCCAAACTGAGCGATCGCATGTTAATTTGGTTTTCACGAGAGACTCATCTGAATCCCACCTAAATCCTGAGGGAAACCAAGATGGGCTTAATCGGTCGTGAGCTGTCAAGGAGTGATTAGTAACACTATGAAGTGCTTCTTCAAAAAATAAACTACGATATCTCGTATGTTATACCAACTAAAACTTGAAGCGCCCTGTGAACAGCACATTCAGTTAGAGACTATCAAAAAACGAGAGATTCGGGCGAGTCTTCCGTTAAAACAAAATTGATATGCGAATGAGTGTTCCTGGCCAGTGATAACATGTTTTACAAACATGGAAGGCGCGATTGTCTAGAGTGTCAACACCTAATAGTATTTGTGTATTGTGATCAAGTTCCATAGAAAACGAGACAGTTTTCCCCTAAAGTTGGCAAATGATCACACTCAATTTTGTCTGCATTTAAGGCATATTTTATTCGTAAGTGTTTACAAGAGATTATTTCCTCTAAATAGGTCCTTAAGGACGTCGAACACTATGCATAAGTTTGCTGAAAACTCTGACGAAACAAAATTTACGTTCTAGTTCCCGAATATTCTCTCGTGTCGTGTCACATTCATTGCGTGCGTGGTGGCTTAGTGCAGTGACAGTTGGATTGATTCGGTTCCGCGAACGAAACGTTGGAAACTGCTTCTATTGCATACACTGATTGAGGATTCGTTGCTTTGTCCTGGCTTCCGCAAGCTTTGCGCTTTACCTCGCGCGGGCTAAAGAAACGAAGTTTGTGTACTGGTGAGAGTACTGTCAACGTTTCCAGGACATTCTGACGTGCCGGTCAATTTCAGATAAGCGCACAAAACTGTCAGGATATTTCACTCTTGTCTGGAATCGGAAACTCTCCTGTGACTTAGGCGAACACTTTGTTTACCGAACTTGGATTTCATCTTCTTTTCGTGTTTCTCTTGGCTTACCGTGGGAATGTTGATGATCCCAGGCTATTGTGAATAACAAGTTAACCTATGCGGTGGTTCTCTACAGAGAAGCCTAAGATTGTGGACAATGGCTCATGGTGAGTTCAATCCAAATCGCGCACAGAGCCGGCGAGTCACACTACATATCCACGTCCCTGGTTAATTTTGTCGGAGTGTTAGAATAAAAAAAAGTTAGGTCGGGGATGCGTACCATTCGCCGAAAATACACACCCACCTCTGAGTAGTGATATGCATATTACAACTAGTAGTCTCCTGGCAAAGCGAATTAACAGGTGTATTAATAGGACAGTTACAACTCTTCCAAGCGAAACACCTACTTCGCAATGATAGCTTTTAGTCACACCTAAACGAGTCCGACCGTCAAACGCACCATCATCAATAAGGAGGGGAGTAATCGAAGTTTATAAAAATCTAGCAAAGATGTGTTGCAATGTCACGAGCTTTTTGGATGTAAAATTCGAATCTGCTGGTATCACAAAAGTACACACGAACACAAAAACACCTTGACACAGGCAAGCTGAAAGTGTGTCCCCAGGAACTTTCTAATATACAAATCTAGCTTCGATAGTCGAGAGTACAGTCTAAAAAGGTTGTACAGATTGGTGTGAGTGCATAGTAAGCTGGGGTCTTGGATACTCTTTGATAGTGTTTGACGTTCTCCAGGATTTTGTTACAGCATCGAGGAAAGTTTGAAGAGGTTACCTCACCAGACATCATTGTACCTTGTTCTACTGATACCAACAAGGGGCTTATGACCCAGTCTTTGCGCAGTCTATGAATATTTTCCAACGAGTAGTCAACATTTCCAATGCTTCATTGAAGGAAATCGAGCCATGTGCGGAGAATACCCGCAGTAGATGAGGACAAGATAGAAAGTCTCAAAGACAGGCTCAAGGGAGGTTTAAAACATCTCTGCTTCAAAACACAACCGAATGATTCATTTCGGGCATAACGTTATTCTTGAAGTATCACGATTTTTTCGCTTGCAAAAATCGATCGTAAACATGGTGACTCACTTTTGTTTCCTCAACTCTGTTTTCACACTCACGTCCAGGAATTCGGGAATTCTAGATTTCGACATCCCAGCTTACTACCTACCAAAAGTGACTATTTTCGGTCGTGACCCAAAGCAAAGTGACAGGCACCAGAAATTAGACGCACATGAGGGGACAAAGAACTAATTTCCAGCCTTCCTAGAGGCTTTCGTCTTGTCGCATTGCAATCCCACACTTTAATCACGTCCTCGTTTTTAGTTCCACATGAGGTGGATATTCCGGCCAAAAACAATCAAAAACACAGACGCACATGAGGGAACAAAGAACTAATTTCCAGCTTTCCTAGAGGCTTTCGTCTTGTCGCACTGCAATCCCACACTTTAATCACGTCCTTGTTTTTATTTCCACATGAGGCGGATATTCCGGCCAAAAACAATCAAAAACAGGGCTAAGTCAAGTTCGGCAAGCTTCTCCAGTTTGTTGCGTTAGGGGATTATTCGATTCGAGAACGGAAATTTTGTTTCGAGGTTTATCACCTGATCAGTGGGTGAGATAAATTGAGGTTGCCGGATAAGTTGAGTGACGAGCGGTTTTACCTTGGAGATGTTCAGTATTTTTTCAGAAATAAAATAAAATAACTCCCATTCCTAATAAGTTGGCTGCAACAAAATCTGACTGCTTCCTCTTCCTTATCAAATTTGACAAGCATACAAATGACCGAGTATCACAACAACCTACCAGCGACATCTTTAACATTCCGTCACTACTGTTTTGATTTCCTGGTGCGTTCCGTAATAGCGTGGTTTCTACAACCTGACTTTCATTTAAAGGCTTTTTAAAGGTTGATCAGGAACAGAGAAAAAAGTTGTAGTACTGCCACGTAAGAATTGGCGTGTTTCTCGTAAACACAATTATCATTTTAGTGTATCAAGCAGCTGTTTATCACCCCTGCTTATGTGATACAGTTGTCCTGACTTCAAAAATCAATAGAGGCTTAGGTTCGCTTCTGCGAATTCCTTTTATTAAGCGAAATCACTGGGTACCGTTCGGAACTCTGTTTTGGCTGTTTGAAATTACCTGGCTGTGATTGGTTGGACAGTTGATTGATTCTCTGTCAGCTTGTTTATGGCGGCCGTTGTTTGGTCGCAGTGCTCCAATTGTTTATCTGCATTGCGGAATAAAACAAATGAAGTTTGTCGACTGGATGACCTTGACTTGCATTGTAATTTGACTGTACACTGTACCATTTCACAACTGTGCGCTGAGATGATCGCCGGCATATTGTGAACCAGATTTGAACAGTTTCCACTTCTTCTGAAAGCTTTATCCGCGCTGGAGTTTGCTGCCGCCTAGCAGTCATTCTTCAGATAAACTGTGTTCCCCTCTTGATTGCACCTTCAACTTCCACACTCTATAGGCAGTATCCGCGCCATGCTTTTAGCTCTCACCTCCTTGGAAAGTTAGCGTTTTCAGGAACGTCCTGTACCTACACTTTCCTTCCACTGTGTCAGATAGTCAGCGCACTCACAAATCGTATGACATATTCTGACCTGACTTCCTCCGATGTATTCGCTCAGTAACACATACAGTACCCAACGGTTTTGGAAGAAAGGCTTACCTCAGTGTGGACAGAAATATGTGTTCCGCGATAGGACATTTGGGAGGGACTTCTGATATACGCCATTGGGGTGCTTTTCTGCTCCGTTAGCATGAGTTAGCATGATAACTCTTGCTGTTTCAACTGCTGACTCTGCCCTGTCATTCGGTTAGCTATGCCACAGGGTGCTACTGTGATGCTCAACTCTCCACTCTCTACATAGGTTTTGAAGCACTTCCTTGTGGCCCGTCGTCTGAGCACAGTATTTCAGAATACAGTCCCTAGCGAAATGCGAACACAACCGACTGACAATCAGTTCTTTGCTGACACTTATCAGTGACTACATCAGATTAGTCACCGTGTAGGTATATATAACTAAGTACTATTTCTGGACACACACAAACAGGTCAACTTTAACCGTTTGCCAGGGCCAAGGTGGCATCTAGCGTAGCAACATGGAATTCTTTGGTTGCTTTTGATGATGTACTTGGCATAATCCCCTCAGCAGTGTGTATTACCCTATATGGACAATCATATCTGGTCAGTATGATAGATCCCGGATCCTTCAGAGATTGCCGTTATTATCAAATTGTGCCAAATGTATCCCATCCGTCGGAAATCGTGTGAACTTGACTGGTATCTTTATACAGTCGTTCTTGAGCAATGCGTACTGTCCGACGTCATCACAGTCCTCCATCACAGTTGGGACAAAAAACCGTAAATGGGGCGATTTCCAATCACAGGACGGATATTTCCGTAATTTCAATCGCTAACCAGCAAATTTAATAACTGAATAAAGGTAAATACGCAGAGTGTAGTTCATAAGAACCAAGCACCAACTGAGTAATCTTTTCATATTAAAGTCTATCACGGGATGATCAGGGTTGTATATAATGCGACATATTCTATGGAGAGAGTAAACTGAATCGTATGAACTAGTAAGTTTGGGTTCCTGTCGAGCCAGATCGCATCTTTGATTATTAAATTCAATGGACATAGGAAAGTTCTTGCTTTGATACGCTCTGAAAGCCAGACGAGCAAAAATAACACAGGCTAATTGAATGAGTACCATTAGTTTCACTCACTGGATCAAACTTCAGTTAATCACACCTCGTATTTCCATATCTGTAGTCTTATAAGACCTCAATGAGGATCTCCGATATGTCTAAAGCTATTGGCTTTTAAGGGCAGATGATAAAAAGCAGTCCAACCATGGGCTTTTAAAGAGCTTCTGATAATTGAGAATATCTGTATTTTCCAGTTACGCCCCATCAGGGCGTCACCAAAACAATTTCTATGAAGTTTTAGTCGTTTAAATTAACCAAAAGCCTCTTAATCGTTGTGCACTATACCATCTGACAAGAACATAATGCGCAAACTCTAGCCATTCGTTCACTTTGTCTAACCCCAGAAGAACTGGTTGAGTTACAGGCTTTACACGCACCTCCGGCTCTCTGTAGCGTTTGTGCAGCCTTATAATGCTTAGATTTTAAACAATTTTGTTAAAAATGAGCATTTGAAGTGCTGACCATCATTTGTATCGTCGTTAGGTATCTCGACCACTGACTGGGTTCCAGCACGGTCTCTGTAGTAAAATCAGCTTGACGACGCTGCCTTAATGAGGCGAGACGGAAGGCGAGACATAAAGTAAAAACTTGATCTTGCCAAGCTTCTGGTGAATATAGCATACAAGGTGCATATTTGGCATTCATATAGAGTGCCCTGATAGAAAATGGGTTCTTGGAAAAGGTCGTAACAAGAAAAATTGGCAAGCTTTTCTCATAGACAAGAGGGAAATTGCGTCAACTCTAAATGAGTCTTTTTAATCCAGTATAATCGAAATAACGGTGCTTAACGAGATTGCTTCAGCCGACTGACTAAACAGTTGCCCAGCAGAAACGACAAGAATGAGATGCTAATCCAGCACTCATTTGTGGTACCATATTCATTCGTTCGCGAACATCCTGCAAGCTTCGCTAGTTGGACGACTCGACAAATTCTTCGGAGTGACGAATGCATACCATCCAGCAGTGAAAATAAGACAAGAAAACGCCATCATGGTTCATAGCATCCTTTCAAGGACAGTTGCACAGGCAGGACCATCGCAACTGAATGCATTCAAAGTGGTCAACGGTACAATTTTAAACAGGTGGAATCAGGAACTACCGAGTCTTTTCCCTAACCGCATGGTCAGCTGACACAAGTTATAATATATATGTATATATACGGGATACTGTGTTCAATATAGTAATAGGTCTAACCTTTGAACTTCTTTATCAAATGAGAGACTAAAACATCGGTTGAATTTTAGTTGATCAAAAATCCTGTTTATTCTGGTCCAAATAACCTTTTTCGAGCACAGTGATAAGCTGTTTTGATGGCAGTTACATCCAATCAAGCATTTCAAACACTTGCCTTCTATATTCCTTGAAATTCGGACCAAGTGCGCCGTAATACTGCAACTCAAAGAAAATCTCTTCTTGCATAATTAGACAACTGATCGCCCCCTGTTATAATCCGGTCTTTAAACACGTCAGTTTACAGTTTCCTTCAAATAACGCCGACTGCCTTTCTTTTCATATAATTTGAAATAAGAAAACCCGTCGTGACCAGTCCAAACTTTGTATGATCGATAAGCGTTTTGATAAGGATTCACACTTGACTGGGCATTAGTTTTTTTGAGACAAAATTTAAAATTGGCACCAGGATCTGCCATCTACGTTCCGCCTGATTAACACACTCCCTTTTTAGTGTCGCGGAACAAACGAATGCAGCGTATCGTAGTTAATTAGGATTTGTAGAAAAATTGCGATGACTTTAATGGCATCAGTGCACAAAATTTAGCTCTGCTTTTCTTAAACAAAGCGATTTATAGTCGAATAGATAATGGTACAGCTACGCAGCTTGTGCACTGCATGTCATCATTTTTAGCAAGTGTGACCCAAAAACAGCATATCTTGAGCGGACCACGTTAATAACCCAGGTTGCTCATTGAAAAACCCCGTGCAGGAGACTCGTAGTTTATCACAGCGTGCACGCCTCAATATTTTTACAATTAAAGCAAATCAGGTAATTTCATACCTCAAAAGTTGAAATGATCATTCTTAAAAACATTGCGAGCCCTACCAATTGCAATGGTTTCATTGATTATGCATGGCTCGTCGAGTGTGGTTCTTGAAGTTATCTAAACAAACCTTTCACTATAAAATCATCCTTTTTCTAATTAAACTGTAAAATGGGACTGTCGGTTCGTCACCGTTTAACCAGTACTTTGCTGTCGCTTCCACACTAAACAGATCCTAGGAATGCTGGCAGATTAAACTCAGTGGGCATCTGATAACTCAGTTTTCCCTCGTGAGAAATAGCAGAAAAGTTTTTAGTCAGTTAATGAGATGTCTATGGCTTATTGTTTGTGACAGAGCATTTCCGAATGTGGATTTTCTAATGTGACACGACATTTTATGAGATATTTGGTCCTGTTCATCCATGCAAAAAGGGGACTAACTAATGTCGGTAGTTTGGTGCCAACTATTGAGCAAAAGTTTTGCGACTCTTGTGAAAGATCAAGCTTTCCACCAGCTCCAACTCTAGTGCGCTGGTGCATATTTACTGGGAAACCTTTGACTTTATATCATTCAGTTTTTCAACATTTCTATCTTTCCAATTTACCAATAGGACGGCAACAGCTTTTTTACCAGCTTAAATTTAGTCGGTGACACATCCGACTTAAATTGGAATTACTGACGGTGTAACCTATGGTCCATTAGCTTCGCTTTCAAAGAGTCCTATCAGAAAACGAAAACAAAAGTGACAATATCTACAGTAGTCACAATATTCTTCCATTTTGTGAGAAGACTTTGCTGTTATTTTAGAAACGAACAATGGATTTTTGCGTCAGTAGAAATCTTGCGTTTGAACCGGTACGTAACAAATATGAACAGTGCATCAGACCATTCAAGTAGGCTAATGAAAATGCACAAGAGTGCATTTTAAAATCTTTTGCTAGCTCATAGTGTAACATGTTTAACAAGCTATTCAAAATACATTTAAAAGTCTGTAGGCAAGACATAAAAAGGTGGATAGAACGGCGAAATGGGTGGCGTATGATGTGGTAGAAAATGTTCATTTATCTGGTTGAACCCGATGAAGAATCTGAAGCGGGGGTAACTGTACAGAATAACACTATGGTACCAATGAATGCCCTCGTTCGGAAACAAATAAGTAAATGTGCCGTCGCTGTGTGCTTCAGCGAATTCACTTTGTATTTCAACTGTGTAATATTCTAACAATCACCTGCTTGCTCTTATTCAGGGGGAAATTATCGAAAAATCCAAGAACTCACTAGAGGATCCAAAGATAATTTAGCACTGCCACTAATGATGTAAAATGCATAAATAATTAACCGATAAGTAAAGGTAAATGACAAGTGGTATTCAATACCTCTTTGATCATTTTCTTGATGAACATGAGTCAGACATCCTTGGAGAACACAATTCTTTCCAAAATCATGCACAAGTATCGTTTAATTCGGCAGTACGGAGAGATGGTTAACAAGAGACATGAGCTTTTTTCCTAGAAGTCGCTTATAAAAGGGACAACGTACACTGGATCACTAGTTGAGGTCTCTGTAAATTGTGTGGCATTCTACGTAACTCCGCTCAGCTCAGTTTAGCAAGCCGTTTCTGGTGGACTGAGATTCCAGTCGCCTTGGATACGCATGAGCTGAACACTGTTGGTTTTTCCACAGAAGGATGGAGTTACACAAAGCCAACCTAATCCTTCGAATTGTCAAAATCAGCTCTACTAGGAGGGCAAAAACCGAAATTCGCACCATATCTCGCATAAATGTTTAGGCTACGAGAGAAAAGTTACTTGCAACACAGATAGACCTTAAAACAGCTGTTTCCTCTACTTATTTTTCATGAGATCATGACACAGTTCTTTTGTCACTGATGTTTGCGTACCTATGTGGTCGCAAGAATATCAAATCAGATTATTCACCACTTCAGTAATTTGATCAAACCACTTCACAAGGTACAACACTGGGTCTGGCGTTCAGTTGTGTTGGAACCAGACCATTTTTCCCCGAAAATTAAATTAGAAACTTTTCGAAGTAGGCAGTAGAAGAATGATTCAACCATAATCCACCGAGCTGTGCATAATCTAGTTTTACAATAAGCTTCTTTTTAAATGCTACCTAATGATCTTTGGGCACTCGCTGAATGTCGACTTTGGTTTACCAAGAGCATTTTGTTAGATCTACTTCTAAGTGAATCATCAAGAGGAAATCCTATCGTCGTTCAATTTGAGAAGGAAAAGTGCATTTCTGGGTGCTAATTTGCTTTTGGTAACTGCTTCTCTGAATTTGCGGAACAAAATCTGCCAGCTGTGACTACGATGTTCAGCAACAGCTCGCACTACCACAAAGAGGATTTTACCCCTTCCGTTATTAGCCGGCAAAGTTAACTATAAGTTTCGCTTGCCTTTTGTAAGAAATTAAAATCGAGGGTATCAATGGCACATTGAAGCAATTCTCGCTGTTGGTAGTGGCCGACGATACACCCCCTACCACTACGTAATCTATCAAAAATTACCCATTTACTGATGTGGCTCCAAATTTGTGTCCAAGAGAACCATTAAAATTTCTACACGCCTAACTACATTTATTAACGTATTTGGTAGAAAAGCCCTGCAGACTCGAACTTTTGGCTGGTTTCCTCCGACTTTTTTTCTTCTTACACACAAGCGGTTTGAATGGAACCACTTAAAGCTATTTTGTGCTAGAAGGTTCCGTTTGTGGGTTTTTGCCTCTTCACCCATATAGTTAACCGATTCAAGGAGAGGATTTGTGTGCTAACAAAAGTTTCAAGCCCCACGTTCATCAAGACAAAGGAGCACGAATAATCATTCACAAATATGCATGGCTGCTGTAAGATAACAGCGGGTTTTCCGTAATTTGTGACTGTCTTGGTCCATCAAAAGAGTAAAACAAGAACAAGCTTGTAAACTCGCATTCACGGATTTGTATACCGAAAGTATCTTCGGAACATTTAGAATGAATCCCTGGAATTTGAGTCCCTTCAACATTGAGTTGTTACTGAACAGCCAACTTTGCATAACTTCGTATATGTAATCCCCCAAAATGCACATTTTTGTTATTTTTAACCACAAATGATATAGCCATCCATTTTTACTGACCCATGTGCTGTCCATAACAGCACTGCAGCTTTTGGCTTGCCCACTTTTTAGAAAGCTTCTTCGCCTTTCTGAAAGACTTACTTAGTCGTTCGTCATGCACGTCATCTCCCTGATTACGGCGGTGATATTTCTGGACCATTGAGATTCCTGTCAAACAATGCATTTCTGAGAAAAAGATTCTCCATCCTGAGTGAGCGTTCTGATTCTATCATGCCAAACTGACGCATCCTCTAACAAACTACCAATTAAAAATGGGTAAAAGTACGTCACTTCGACTAGAAAAAGATAAAAAAAATTGGTTTGCTCACAGAATGTAGGCGATGACACCGATTGCCCAACAGTCCACTTCTTTTCCGTATGTTGTTTTCCCATCTTGAACACACAAAACCTCCGGTGCTAAGAAAGAAGACAGAGGATAAAATCGTTTAAACTCACGTCGTCTTCCTAATTTATCACACCAACAATGGGACAACTTTGGCGTGTGTATTTGTCTAGGTTGACGTGGTAAGCTCCCATTATTGATTGTGCGAATGCGTGGGAATGATTTAGAGTTTTTGGTGGTCGGAAGCTACTTGTAAATGATACGGAAACACGCACAGTGCACGAAATAAACTGTGGGCCGAAAATCAGTAATTTAACCATAAAACCAAGTAACGGAAGCTTTCGGAGTCAACTGAAATTGAGAAAGAACACGCTTCACATGAAATAACAGTGTGCTTCACTTAGTGCACCAGTGTGTAACTGGTTTTTCAATATTAGCACATGATTCTCACTGGGTATGGTGTGCTAACTAGTGACTTTGGCTGTATAATAATAACCGGAAACTATGGTTGTGGTTTCAAATTAGTGACTATTGGCTGTATAATAATAATACCGTAATGAACTGATAACCGGAAACTATGGTTGTGGTTTCAAACTTCACAGTAAATAGACTTCGGAAATTACAATCAAAATAAATCAACTGATCAGGGAGTTCACACAAAGCGCCATAGTTACGTCAGTAGTAAGCATCTGAAAATGCTGACAGCTATTGGCTCAGTAGTTGGTGGTGAACAGAGGCTTTTGATCTGAACATTTTTATTAATCAACTTTTGGTTGCCTCGGGTAACAGTGATAAGTTGACACACACCAGAAGGAGTCATTGTTGGAACGGTAGACATGCAGTCTGTTATTCAGGTCTATCCTTGTTTTTGTACATTTAGTTTGCGTAGAGGCTGAGGGACCTAAGTTTGGAGGATCTTGCTATTTTACTTCCAACTTTTACTGGTAAAATAGCACCCTATACTGCAATCTTAGTGAAAAAATATCTCCAAATTTTTAACTAAACCACGGCTTTACTAACAATGGCTCCAAATCCCATTCGGTACCAAATTCAGAGAATTTTCTCCTGAATCCAACCAAACAATCAGCTTTAGCGTGGGTGAGACGGCTATGAAATGTCTTCCGGTGTTCCAATTGATTTCCCTAATTTATATAAGTGAATTTTTGTGGAAAGGATAAGGGTTCTTGACCGGGATGTTTTGGAAAAAGCAATACAGGTAGTTAAACAACAACGTGCGGAAAAGAGTTCAAAAAATTTTCCTTGTCCATGGAGGTTGATAGTTCAGGTATGTCCAGTTTGCGTTGATGGAATTCCGGCAATGATATCAGCAAGCCCATCAAAGATTTACCGCTCATGTCCCGGGATGGTCGGGACTATGCACTGTGGATTAATTTTATTAAGGTTGGACCTCAAGTACATGGAATCACCTAAGGAGCAGATTAAGTTCTAATTCTGTTGGGATGAGAAGTGAACGCCACAAAATGATTAATGTTGGAACAAGACCTGTTTAGTCAAGAAGATGGTCTCCGAAAACTTTAGAGAGGGGTGGACACAACAAAAGTTCTACCAAAGCTTTTATAATGGCTGCTTAAGCGGTAATATGATGAATCAGTGATCGTTGCATGACGTGCAAGCATGTCCACCTCTATTTTTAAATTAAACTTGATTTCTGTTGGCACAACGTTTTTGATATTGTTTTCTGATTAGTTGATCCATCTTCTTCATTTAAGTAGGTTAAAGAGTGAATCACACTTTAGTCTCGGAATCCAAATCATGGAGTCACTTCATGTTTAGGAACGTTGCGGGATCGAGAGTCTTTGGAATTTTGTGAGGTGCGCGCTTTCAATGATTCCCAAAAAGGATGAAACACTTGTACAGTGTTTCTAGGCCTTTCTTCATGAACAAAACAGAATCTCCATTGGAAATACAAAAAAACGTTTACTGCTTGCCAATTTGCGTGCAAGAGCCAAAGTAGAAGAGTTTGCAGTGGCCCCGTTTCTTTTATGAATAGTAAACAAGTTAATTAGGTCACATGAACAAAGAAAAACAAAGGAATGTATCTTGGACAGGTTCCTCAAAAACCAGACGGTCCACATTTGCCCTAAGGCCATTTGGAACAAACTAATATCGACCTTCTCATTTCCAGCGTCTTCCTGTGGTCAAATTGTGTGAATTCAAGCTCTTTTTAATCGTTGGACATTTTAATACTGCTTCTTCTTATCATGCTCAATTAACGATGTTTGCCAATTCATTTACGGCAACTATATGAAGTTGCCCAAAATAGAAAACACTAACAACCTAATCATCATTGTAATATAGTTGGAAAAAGTAAACTCTACCACAGGGAGCAAAACAGCTATATGAGACTGAACATCCCTTTGTTTAAATTCTTCCTACAGATTTTCGTTGTGTGTACCCTTTTTGAAATACAATACAAAGAGGACGAAGGTGCCACTTGCAAGTGCAGTGTGCAATCCCAGATTTCTATTTAGGAAGAGGTAGCTTCAGGTGGTACCGTAAGTTGGAAACGGTACCTTACCCGATGTCGCGACTTTCACGAAGGCTTACCCCGCAGGCCGGAATAGGTGGGTCGCGATAAAGTGCTGCGAAACCGTCGATCCTCCCTATATGAATCGTTTGGTCCCACGGCGAACTTAAGATTCTAAAGCAAACTTGTCTTCGTTTCGCCAGATACTGTCATTCGCATACTAATTTTATTTCGTTCATATTCACACCACTCGTTTGAACTGTCGTCAACCCATTCTGGTGTAATTATTCTGGTGAGTCCACACCAAACGGAAGCATTGGACTTGAGTTTCTCTCTCATTAGGGCTCACCAGCAGTGCATATCCAGTGGCCGTCCCGGGATTGATTTGATTTTGACGGGAGATTCGAATGAGTGTAACCGAATATACCTTCTGTGATTTTTTCAATCGAATGTACTGCACAATGCTACTTCATGTTTCAGCTGATACAATGTACCTGATATCACATTACACAGTCCCCCGTCAAAATCATATTAGTGTACAAACGGCAGCAATTGGCAAAGTTCCTCACATTCAAGTTTAAGTGGAAAATAAGGTTGACGAAGACGGTGCCTACCTGAGGAACCCCAAGAAGGACGTAACCAATGGCGGGATGTCAAATATTTTTAGCAGCCTTACGATATTGCCTTAGTTTCATTTATCTTGTCTTTCTGGACCCTTTGCGTCCTTGCCAAATCCAGAGGTGAATCCTCGCAAAACCTTAATGGGAGCAGTCATTTTTTGTTTTGCGAAGAACTAAAATTCCACGAACACGTTCCTTAAAGTAAAACAGTGGAAACTCAGTACATGTTTTTCTTTCATATTTCCCATTTTGGCTGAATGCTCAGAAGCAAAGTGAGTATTGTGGCCAAGTTTGGAGAGCAGTTCCTCTTCTGAGTGTTTGGCTGAGGGCGCAGTCAGTGCAGTGGTTGAGAATACGTTGCATAACTGGCACTGTGCAGCAACCTATTTATTGGACAGATAGCAGTAAAAGATCTCACCCAGTTAAAAAAAACTCTTTGGTAAGGATCAACAAAAACGGATGATCAGAATTTATCAGCAGACAGGATGGTGCCAAAATCCTCAAGGCGGTAATGCTAAAAGGACTTACCAACATCCAGCAAAAGAACTAAAAAAGCGTCTTAAAGTGAGCAACTTCTGGTCTGGGTAATAACTAGTTTAGTAGTTAGCAAACAACATAAGTGATTCCCGCCCCACCATTTTGATGAAATGGTAAGTAGGCAGCATTTTTTAGTTATGATGGAACCCCCTTTGAGTGCTTCAAAAATACTTTTCAGTTTAACCGCGATTCACAGGTGCATACAAGCCCATAGATTATTTCTGCATTGTCATATTACTGATAACCGAGTTATATTGATTATCGAATTTGGCTTTCATCTGAGTGATGATCGCCTTCCAATCTGTTTTTGTCCGGTAATCAATTGTGGCTCGTCTTCTCCCACCACTGGTCGGCTTCAAAGGCAGAAAAACACGCTTCTGTGAAATGGTGTAGCAGTACATTTTGTAAGATCCTGAGTAGAAACACTCGACTACGGTCAGTGCTTATTGACAAGCTTAAAAGAGGCCAGCAACCACTGACGACAGGTGAGATTTCTCAAACTTAAAGAAAAACATGCACCATAGGGTTGTGGAGTAAATCTTCACGAGTGCGTTTGAAGGTGGTAAGTTATGCAGCTCTATGAAATAGACAAAATTTCATCTTGGGCATCAATAAGCAAGTTAAACATAATATGTAAACTGTGAATACTTTTGTCGGGTTGTCAACGGTCACATCTTTGGTGACCTGCTGTAACTCTTGTGGGGCTGCGTTTATCACAGAGTTACTTACAGGCTATGAATTGCACTTCTAGTTCGTACTATGGTAACCCGAACCCCCGAACTTTTCTTGACGTCTTGTAAAACAGATATTTTGATTTTAGACCAGATGGTTGCTTGTAGGCTCACAATAGTTCCTTTGCCCGCGTCCTCTTGTTGTGTCGATGGTTGGGTAAAGTACGCTTACAATTAGTGCATACTAACTTGTATTCAGTTTAAATTCGACGGCAAACCAACGGTTCCCTTCTTTCTCTTCATTGATGTCAAAAAAGTCCCAGCTCCTGTGAAGCCAGTGGATTTAGAGTAAGATTTTAACTGAAAAACCCTTGAGTAGACTCAAATTTTTGACATTGCTTCTTGGTACGAACCGCATGCCATACATAAGGAATGGAGATGTAAAAACCACATGCGGACAAGTCAAACGTGTACTTGATCTATCTGTGCATCACCTTGAGGTCCACATGGCGCAAAGCGATTGTACTATACAAGCGAATACATTTAGACGTCTCGTATGCTTTGACCGGACAGGACTGAAGACCGGCTCTCGTCAGTAGGCTGTATCAAGCACAGAAACGGTAGTTGGCTTGATGTGAAATGATGGCCTTATCTAGACGAAATACACAGTGACTTTTAAGCGAATACAATTCATTAGCAAATACTGCTGTTTTGTTTCTTCCTGGTTGCGGTCGAACTATCTACGACACTCATCCGAA